TTTCTATATATTTTTAGTTGTCCGATTAATTTCTTTCTATTTTTAGTAGAGACGGGGTCTCGCTCTTGCTCAGGCTGGTCTCGAACTCCTGAGTTCAAACAATCCGCCCGCCTCGGCCTCCCAGAGAGCTAGGATTACAGGCGTGAGCCACCGTGCCCGGTCACACAATATCTTTTTAAGCAAAGAAAATGTATTCTCTTGCGAAGGCTCAGAGACTGTCCCACTATCAACTTTAGTGAGCATAACCAAAAAGAGCCCAAGAACCCAGTGATCTACTTTACCCGTAGTAAGAAGGTAAGTTTGGAGTCTCTGTAGCAAACATGTCTCTGTTTTCCATTACCCACATCGACAAGTGCAGTAATCACTTGGCCCAGGCAGCTCAATGATCGGTTTATGTTACCTGCTTCCTAAGGTGTCGGGAAAAAAGAACAAAAATTTAGGTGTACTGGTTACTTTTGGTGTTTTGAATGAAAATATATCTAGCAGAATGACAATTTTGGATGGAAAGGCAAGTCAGGAACAATGTTAATAAAAAACAACTAACTTTTAAGCAAAGAAAATGTGCCCAAATATCCCCCAACCTTTTCCTATTTGACGTATACTACAATTGCAGTATTAGAAGACAAACACAAAAATAATGCAAAGAAAAAAAATATTAATGTCACTTCATGATTGTAATAGTTAAAAACTGACCTATAGGTAGAAATAAAGGCCAGAAAACAAGAGGGGAAAAAAGGACATAAAATCCATTTGTGTTAAACAGTTTAAGGATAACCAATAACCCAAAGTCACTGATGAACTTATTACAATATTCAGTCTTATTCTGTAAAGGATAATAAAAACCCCTTTAAGATAGTAGTTTAAGGGGAAAAGAAAAATGTTTGAGCTAAATACATTATGCTGGATTTTTACTGTAGGTAACATATTTTAATAACTGGGTCTGCAGTGATGAGAATATTAAAAAAAAATAAAAGAGTGAAAATTATAAAGTAAGATGTGCTGAATTCAGAGTTACTACTACGTGTTATCACACAGTAAGTCAGAAGGGTGGTTTAGTGGTGTGGTTGAGAGTACTGCCTGCAAAGCTGGAGTACCTTGGTTTGAATCTCAGCTCTACCCTTATTAGCTATGTGATCCTGGACAATTTACTACAGTTTCTTTAACTGTAAAATAGAAAGGATAATAGCACCTACTTCTCCGAGTTGTTGGGAAGGTTAAATGAGTTAATATATGTAAAGCATTTTACAAGAGGATTGGCATATGTCCTTTAATAAGTATATTCTATTTTTATTATGCATCAAATCTCAATAGAAACATGAGCTTTAGGTTGCCTGAAACTGTCTGAGAGCCCAGGAAGTCCAAATCCTCACTTTTAATGCAAAAAGTAGACCTCTCCCCTAGTCCATGTATATCTTAAACTAGAGAATCCACACAAATTTTATTGGTGATTCATATTACAATGTATATATACATACTGACAATACATATCACATAGAACCTCCGGTCCTACTGCTAATACCTTAGCCTAGGACTAGGTCCTTAACCCTCTGCACCTGAAATATTAAACAGCATAACTGGTCTTCTTTCTCATTAGACTCTCCCCTCTGGAATCTGACAGTGGTGGGTCAGAAGGCTAAGTTTTTATAAAGCAGACTTTCTTCATGAAATCATTCATTTGTTAAAAATTTTTAAGTGTTTGCCAATGTTTGGTGAGTTGAGTTTAAATGTGGCCTGTCACTCCTGGTCCTTGATGATCTGAACCTACTTGCCTCTCTAACCAACCAATCCAGTGACCCATGCTGAAATGCCAAATGCCACACTTGTTCTGCATCCACAATAATCTCTGAGATGTTCCGCTGTCCAGCATGCATTCCCTAGTCCTCTCTCCCTACCAAAATCCTTTGAGATGACAACTCAAGAACTACTTCTTTTCCACACTCCCCCCTCAAGCAGTCCATGTCACATTCTTCTTCTGACCCCTGCTGCCTCTTGTACCATTATCTCCTCTGGCATGAATTTAAACATTCTTGACAGACCTGCCCTATCCCATTTATGTTTATTATCCTATCCCACAACAAAAATCTCTATTCCTTTATGATAGGAACAATTTCTTATTTATTTGTAGCCCTTATAACTCTCAGCTTAGTACAGTCATACATCACTTAATGACATAGATATATTTTGAGAAATGCATCATTAGGCAGTTTTGTCAATGTGCAGACATTACAGAGTCTACTTACACAAACCTAGATGGTATGGCCTACTACACATCTAGACTGTATAGCATAGCCATTATAGTCTTATGCGACCATTATCATATATGTGGTCCATAGTTGACCAGAATGTCCTTCTGTTGTCACATGGCCATACTTCTAAGAAGAATCTACATACAGGTTTAAGACAATAATTTCAATCTTACCTTCAACCTCACCCCTTCTGCATGGGTATCTTTTTGTCTTTCAGATCCTGCTAAATCCACCAGGTTGAGTAGGGAGGTCCGTATATTCACAGTCTCATTGCTTTTCTCCATTGATTCGATTGTAATTGTAAAGACTGCATGAGACCTAGAGGATTCTCTGTTCATTGATGTTGATGCCACACGTCTGTTCCTCCATCCTCCAGACAATACCTAGGCAAAAGGAAAATATATTAAAGAAGCAACGGTAGGTATACTTAAGACAAACTTAAAACATAAAATAAGCACTTGAAAATAACTCATTTTAATAAGAAAAATACTAACATATAGCTAATTACCTACTTTAAAAATACTTACACAAAGCTTTTTTTCCCTCTAAAACAGGGGTGAGGAGCACCTGTGGCCTTTCCATTGTTATCTAGCTTTTTAAGAGAAATTACACTGTTATAAGTTCCAAGTGGTATACAACAGCCACCAAAATCAGTAGGAAATCTGTAAAGGGTGGTAAGAATTACTGGTCCATCAAGGAACATACTGAAGTTATTTCCTTTCCTTTGTGTTCCCTCTCCATGTTACAGAAAGAGAACAAACAGGAAATCAGAAGGCATAAGTTCTAGAATCGGTTTTGCCATCCTCTATTTGTGTTAATTTAATGTAAATCATAAAACCTCTCCAAACTCCTTTAACTAGAGTTACTAGAAAATGAGAATGTTGGACAAGAAAAATCTCTAAATTATCTTCAAGCCTAAAGTTTTGTTGGCTGTTTTAGTCTACAAAGCATTTTTCCCCTCTATTCTCTATGGCAAGATACATGAAGGTTCAGACTGCAGGCTCTGGAATCTGATGAAAATGATTGGTCACTATTTCCTAGGTACGGTCTGGGGCTAATTGAACCTTTTCAAGGCTCAGTCTCCATACCCATAAAATGGGAATATGGGTCCCTACCCCTAGGACAGAACATCTAAGTTTAATGTGCATGTGAATCACCTAGGGATCTTATTAAAATTCAGATTCTGATTCAGTATGGGGTGGGGCCTGACATTCTGCATTTCTAACAAGCTATCAGGTAACGCTGATGTTCTGAGGACTGTATTTTGAGTAGCAAGATCATAATAAGTACAGGGTAAAATGGGAAAATTAGTATCTTTACCTCAAGAAGTATATTCAAAATTAAATAATGTACACAAAAAAAGTTAACACAGTGCTTCATACCTACACTCAATAAATGCTATTATAATCCTATTAACAAGCCACAGTATAAAATTGAAATTATTTGTATCTTTTATATTTCTTGGATAGCACTTTATGCTTCCTTTTCAAAACATTAAATACTGTATATTAAATAGTAAGTAAATCATGATACATTCATACTGCTGTAAAAAACAAAAGAGAGACTTCCTCAAACACAGGACAAACTCAAAAATAATATTATCTTAAAAAAGCAAGGTGTAAAAGTCACAGTATGCTATCACTTGTGCAGCATAAGGGGGAAAAGCAAATACAAGCATGTTTGCTTGAATACTTACACAAAAATCAAAATATAAACAAAAACACTTGGTGAATTTTCATGAATTGGAAGAATCAATAGTTAAGATATCAATTCTACCAAAAAAGACTCAAAACAATCCCACTTAAAATACCAGCGGCCTTTTTTATAGAAATTGACAAGCTGGTTCTGTATAAATGATAATACAAAGGACCAAGAATAACCAAAATAATTGTCAAAAAGAACAAAGTTGGAGGACTTATCCTACCTGATTTCAAGATGCTACTCAGCAATAAGCTACAATAATCAAGACAGTTTTGTACTGGTATATAATATATAGATCAATAGAACAGAATACAGTCACATATAAACCCATACATGTACGGTCAATTGATTTTCATCAAAGGTGCAGAGGCAATTCAATGGGATAGCCAGGCATGATGGCACATGCCTATAGTCCCAGCTACTTGGGAGTCTGAGGTCAGAGGATTGCTTGAGTCCAGGAGTTCATGGCCAGCCTGGGTAACACAGCAAGACCTCATCTCAAAAAAATTAAAAAGGCAAATCAATGGGGAAAAGAAAGGTTTTTTCCCAACAAATCATGTTGTATACTGGATCAAAAACAAAAAGGCAAGAAAACAGTACTAAATAAAACAGACAAAAACACTAAGGAAGATGGTAGAAACTAGTCCAACAATATCAATGATCCTATTAGTGTAAATAAATTAGGTATGATACTGTCAAGAGTGGTTTGAAAAAAGGCAAAATATACCTATGGGGTTTACAAGAAATACCTAAAACAATAAAACACAAAAGGAATGATGAGAAAACACATACCAGGCAAATCCTAATCAAAAGACGGCTAAGTGGTAATATGAATATCAGACAAAATAGATTTGTAAAGCAAAATATGTTGATAGGAAAGCATAGGGTCAATAAAAATTATATATTCAAATCAAAGGAATATATACTAATTCTATCACTGTATATGCACCTAATAAAACAGTCTACAGCAGGTCCCCAAATAACATCAATTTGTTCAACGTCATTTTGTGGTGATGCTGATGAGGGGGAAAAAATCAATTCCCAGCTGGGGCTACTATGTGGAGTTTGCACATTCTACACATGTATGCATGGGTTTCTCTGGGTACTCCAGTTTCTTTCCACATCCCAAAGACGTGCACAGTAAGTAAACTGGTGTGTCTAAATATCACCAGTGTGCCAGGTGTGGTGGCTTATACCTGTAATCCCACACTTTGGGAAGCTGAGGCAGGAGGACCACTGAGACCAAGAGTTCCAGACCAGTCTGTGCAACACAGAGACACCTGGTCTCTATAAAAAATGAATAAAATTAGCAGGGCATGGTGGCGTGCACCTGTAGTCCTAGCTACTTGGGAGGCTGAGGCAGGAGGATCACTTGAGCCAAGGAGTTCAAGATTACAGTGAGCTATGATCATGCCACTGCACTCTAGCCTGGGTGATAAAATGAGACCCTATTTAAAAAACAAATAAATAAATACTGTGAGTGAGTGTGGGTGTATGTGTGAGTGTGCCCTATGACATAATGGGGTTCTGTCCAGGGCTGATTCTGGCCTTGCACCCTGAGCTGTCAGGATAAGTTCTGGCCACCCCCAAGCCTGAATTGGAATAAACAGATTGGAAAATGAATACAAATGATTGTCAAATAAAAATCCACAAAGCATAGGATAATCATACAAATGCACAACAATAAACGATTTAATACAAAAGCACTCAGTGAACCCATCATATTTGTTACTGTTTGTTTCTGAACTGCATGGTAGCAGCCAGGGCTAATTGACAATTTTCATTTTGCAAACATTTATTCCTTGATTTAACCCACCCCAACTACAACTGCCATCACTTACTGATGCACCAAATCCTGGGTAATTATCTTACTTGTTTTTATTAATCTTCCTTAAATGCATGTATAGGTCGCATTTATTTCATGTTTAATATTAGAAGTGTCTTGCATCTTTATTTAGAAGTTTTTGACGTTTTTGTGATCAGAAATATGCCATAGAAACTTAATTCTTATATCAATTAGCCTATGGTAATATTGGTTTTATTACACATTGTTTCGCTTAAAGCCAGTTTCCAAGAACCTACCAATAACATTAAAGTGAGAATTTACTGTATTTCCATAAGCATATATATTAAAATAGACAAAAATCAAGATGAAATTAATAAAAGCAATACCTTATTGGGAGACAAATATTTCTTTCTGAAGTATCAACAGATTATAGAGACAAATGAGTAACATCATAAAACCTTATACCCAAGGATATACATTCTTTTCAAGCATACAACGTTTACAAAAATTGGTTATTTTATTAATCCATAAATCATGTCTCAATAAATCTCAAAGGCTATGAGTCACACGAGACCACAATTTCTGACTCCAATTCAATTAAGAATCAATGTGAGAAATAAATTAGCAATTCTAATACATTTGGGAATTTTAAATGACATTTCTAAGTAATTTATGAGTCGAAAAAATTATAATAGAAAAATATTTAGATCTGAATAATTAAAATATTAAAACTTATGTGAACTTAAAAAATATTAAGAAGTAAATTTAAAGCATCAAATACTTTTTTAATTTTTTTTATTTCTGCATATTATGGGGTACAAATGTTTAGGTTATGTATGTTGCCCTTGTCCCGCCCCTCCATCAGAGCTTCAAGCGTGTCCATCCCCCAGATGGTGTGCATTGCACTCATTATGTCTGTATATACCCATCCCCTCCCCCCTCCCATATGCCCGATGCCTGATGTTATTTCTATATGTGCACTTAGGTGTTGATCAGTTAATACCAATTTGATGGTGAGTACATGTGGTGCTTATTTTGCCATTCTTGGGATACTTCACTTAGTATAATGGGTTCCAGCTCTATCCAGGAAAATATAAGAGGTGCTATATCACTATTGTTTCTTATAGCTGAATAGTACTCCATGGTATACATATACCACATTTTATTAATCCACTCATGTATTGATGGGCACTTGGGTCGTTTCCACATCTTTGCAATTGTGAATTGTGCCGCTATAAACATTCGAGTTCAGATGTCTTTTTTATAGAATGTCTTTTGTTCTTTTGGGTAGATGCCCAGTAATGGGATTGCTGGATCATATGGTAATTTTACTTGTATATCTTTAAAGTATCTCCATATTGCTTTCCACAGAGGTTGTACTAGTTTGCAGTCCCACCAGCAGTGTATGAGTGTTCCTATCTCTCCGCATCCATGGCAACACTTATTGTTTTGGGACTTTTTGATAAAGGTCAGTGTCACTAGAGATAAGTGATATCTCATTGTGGTTTTGATTTGCATTTCCCTGATGATTAGAGATGTTGAGCATTTTTTCATATGTTTCTTGGCCATTATTCTGTCTTCTTTTGAAAAGTTTCTGTTCATGTCCTTTGCCCACTTTTTGATAGGGTTGTTTGATTTTTTCTTGCTGATTTTCCTGAGTTCTAAATAGATTCTGGTTATCAGCCCTTTATTGGATTTGTAGCATGCGAAAATTTTCTCCCATTCTGTAGGTTGTCTGTTTGCTCTCGTGACAGTTTGTTTGGCTGTGTAGAAGCTTTTCAATTTGATCAGGGTCCCATTTATTTATTTTTGTTGTTGCCATGATTGCCTTTGGGGTCTTCTTCATAAATTCTTTGCCTAGGCTAATGTCTATAAGAGTTTTTCCAACATTTTCTTCTAGAATTCTAATCGTTTCACATCTTAGGTTTAAGTCTGTTACCCACCGTGAGTTTATTTTTGTGAGAGGTATGGATCCTGTTTCAGTCTTCTACATGTGGCTATCCAGTTTTCCCATCTCTATTTATTGAATAAGGATTCTTTTCCCCAGTGTATGTTTTTGTCTGCTTTGTCAAAGATTAGATGGCTATATGAGGATGGTTTTATATCTGGGTTCTCAATTCTGTTCCACTGGTCAATGTCCCTGTTCTTGTGCCAGTACCAAGCTGATTTCATTACTATAGCCTTGTAGTATAGTTTGAAGTCTGGTAGGTTGATACCTCCCATTTTTTTTTTATTGCCTAGGATTACATTTGCTATACGGAGTCTTCTCTGATTCCATACGAAGCATAAAATTATTTTTTCTATATCCATGAAAAATGATGTTGCTATTTTAATAGGGATTGCATTGAATCTGTAGATCACTTTGGGTAGTATAGCCATTTTAACAGTGTTGATACTACCGATCCACGAGCATGGTATGGTTTTCCACCTGTTTACATCCTCTGCTATTTTCTTCCTCAGAGTTTCATAGTTCTCCCTGTAGAGGTCTTTTACTTCCTTAGTTAAATATATTCCTAGGTCAAAGTATCAAATACTTTTATCACAAAAGAAAGGCCAAAATTAGATAAGCATCCAGCTTACGAAGTTGGAAAAAGAACACCATGATAAACCCATAATGAAGTAAAAATGAAGAAAATATTAAAGAACAAGGCTATGTAAATAATATCAAATATATAAAATGGAAACAAAATGGTAGCAAAGATCTGAAAAATGAGAATACTAGGAATAACCTTATGCCAGTATATTTGAAAACTCAGAGCAATCTGAAATTTTTCTAGGAATACATAACTTACCAAAACTGACCCCAGAAGAACTAAAGTGCCTGCAAAGCTCTATTAAAGAATTTTTATTTGTAGTTGAAAGTCTTACAAAACACAAGGCCCAGATGATTTCTACCATAATACCTAAGAACAGATCAGTCCATTCATAAAATTTCCAGAAAATACATAAAAGTGATAATAAGACAAGGAGAACAAAATAAAGAGAAATGACAGGTTGATATCAACCTTTAAAATTGATGAAAAATATTAAAGAAAATATTAACAAGTCTAATCTAGTACCTTATCAGGTTAACAAGTTTAAGGAAAAAAATCATATGATTATCTCAATAGAGGTAAAAAAGACATTGGACAAAATTTAAGATATATTCTTGATTTTATAAGAGTTGGCAAGATGCCTGATTATAAAACCATTATATAAAAATCAACTATATCTCTATGCACACCTAATAGAAAACGTAATTTTAAAAAAGAGAGAATAAGAACGACTAAATAGCTGGGCTTGGTGGCGTGTGCCTGTAGTTCCAACTACTCAGGGGGCTGAGGTAGGAGGATAGCTTGAGCCCAGGAGTTTGAAGTTATAGCAAACTATGACTGGGCCACGGCACTCCAACTTAAGCAATAGAGCAAGACTCTGTCTCAAAAAAAAAGAAAAGAAAAAAGAATAAAAACAGCAACTAACATAAGGTATATTAGAGTAAGTGTAACAAAAAATATGTAAGATTTTTGTGGTGCAAATTATTAAAATTACATTGTAAGACATTAACCTAAATAAATGAAGAGACATACCATGTTCATGAATGAACTGAGTATCGTAAAGATGTTAATTCCTCCAAACCGGTCTATAACTGCAATGTGATTCCAATCAAAATCCCAACATAATTTTTTGAGTGTACATGTACAGACATACTGGGTCACATATATCCCTTATTGGGGGAGGCTCAGTTTAAAAAGTTTGAATCAGGAGAACTAATTGAAGATGAAAGAATAAATTAATAGTGGAATGTTATATAGCAGGGAAAATAAATGAAATGCAACATAGATGAATTTCATAAACCATGTTGAGCTTAAAAAGTCAAAGAGAACTAAATAAATACTTTTTAAAACTCAAAATCAGGCAAAACCAATATATTAATATATATATGATTTAAAAGTGGAAGAAAATGATGATGACATTCAACAAGAAGTGGTTAATTTTGAGGAGGAGCCAGGGATACAGGATAGGGAGGAGCACACAGGTAAATAGGATAGTACTGGTGATATGTTGGTCTTAAATTGTCTAATGGGCTCCTGCAAGTTCACTTTAACATTGTGCTTTGTAACTTATTTGCAAGTTTTGTATGTATCAAATAATACATAATAAAAAGTTGTTTAAAATCAATTGGCCAGATCAGATTCCATAAAAATGTAAGCAGAATACTTTGTAAATTCCTGTCAAGAGGTTTCTTTGTCCTGAGCTGGATGCTGAAGAAGTTCGTCTTTTATAATATTAGTGCTTTTGATACTTAACAACCAAGCAAAGGTAGAAAGAAGAACAGAACAGCCAGCTGGTTTAAAGGGCACAGTTCCTAGGAGCTCCTCAAACAGGCAGCTCCCAGGAGGAACCACTAAAGAAATATGGTCACTAATGAATTGTTACCTACAGGGTAGTTTTTAAGAGCCACCTGATTAGAACGAATAGCACAAAATAATGCAAAATCAAGCAGCTCAGAGTTTTGCTTTAAGGAGAGATCTATAAAATATTGTCAATATTATTTTTCTTTACTTTTCATGAACATTCTGTATTATGCCTTTATGACATATTTTTGGCACCTCAATTCTTTTGCGAACCTGGGGTGCTTTCACGCCGTGTTTGTTGCCTAATCATCAAATAAATATTCATGGCAGTGTACCTGATAGGCTTCGGCAGCTGAGGTTACCACCTGCTCCACTGCACCAACGACAAAGACTCCTTTCTTGATATGTTCCCTTAAGTACAGTCCAGCTGATGCAGAGTCCAGTAAGTCGAATATCTGCTCGTTGTAGATTTCAATAAAAGAACACTTACAAAGGAAACTCTTCCCAGCTCCAGCCTGAAAAAGAGAAGCTTTGTTTAGATACATTATTTTTATGTGTTCATTCCTAGCTTTAATGAGCGTTAATCTTGCATTTGCTTCATAAGATATAAACTGCTACACTATCGTCCTTTAACACAATATAAGATACCTAAAAGACAGTTAAAAAAAATCTAAATAACTAGTTTCAACACATCATATTTTAAAGCATCATCAAACTGTGGTCCCAGGAGCCCTAGAAGTTTCCAGAGGTGTCACAGAGCTAACACAAAGAGATAGGAATTGAGAATTCCAGTTGGGCAATTCCCTTTTTGTCTAATATATGGACTTCCTCATAAAGTTTTATTTGAAACAAGTGTCATGCTCTTTAAAAGACTGAAAATAATTTATTTTAAAAGACTCTGTACAGAATTATTAACCACAGAATGCATGCATAGCACTAAGCTTAATTATTTCCCTGGCAGGCAATTTGTATGTCTAACTTCAATGTTAGGGATAGACAGTTTCTGCAAAAGAGTAAATGGTAAACCAAAGTTATATATCAGTTTCCTTGGTACACAAGTAACAGAACATGTAACACTAGTGGTTCTTAAGCCTGGCATTCACCGAGCTTCTAAAGCACAATTGTGAAAATGACCCAACCTTGGAACCAAGGAAAGAGGAAAGACCATACGCCCAGGACGATGGATCCATACCACATGGGGAGCAAGAAGATTATGGCAGGCCGGGCGTGGTGGCTCATGCCTATAATCCTAGCACTCTGGGAGGCTGAGGAGGGAGGATTGCTTCAGCTCAGAAGTTCAAGACCAGCCTGAGCAAGAGCGAGACCCCGTCTCTACTATTAATAGAAAGAAATTAGCCAAACAACTATTTTGATTTAAAAATTTATAAAGTATTATTATTATTTTTTTAAATTAAAAAAAAAAAAAGAAGATCATGGCAAGGTGGTAGCAGGTGCTACAAGGAAGGTAAGAATGGGCCCATCACCACAGGACATCATGAGGATATAGGGACACCCCTGAGCCTAAGTATAGGGAGATGATGGGGCTTTATGTATTAGTGTATCTGTTTTTCTTGGTTGAGATTGTCTTTATACTTTCTCACTTTCAAAATCTTTTGAGAACCTAGAAGCACTACTTTCCTTTCTTGTAAACCAGCAACCTGGGTTACAAGATAATGTATGTCTTATAAACTAAAAACTCAATTAAATTGAAAATAAAAAACTGAGAATCCTTAATTTTGTCTTAGGAACTGAAAGAATCGTGGAATACCATCCATGCCCCTCTAAGTATCATGAGCTAATTAGTAGCTAACTACTCAAAATTAGACATTTCATGGAAGCACTTTATTTTTATAGTTAGTTTTACCTTCTCTTTTTCACGATCAATTAAGGAAAACAAATATTCAAAACTTCGTGGGATTACTCCTCTCAGATTATGAGAAAAATTATCCGATTCAGATGGTCCTAAAAAAAAGTTAAAAGAAACAAACAAAAAAAACCTATTGATTTTTATTCTATTCCAAGTCTTTGAAAATGACAACACTAAAAGGCAATTTACACAGAAATGATATCAGATGATACATTGTATAATTGGTTTCCTACTTGTGCTCCAAAAAAGTTTAATTTAGGTCTATGGTGCTTGCTTTGGCAGCACAGATACTAAAGTTGGAAAGATACACAGAAGATTAACATGGCCCCTGCACAAGGATGACATGCAAATTTGTGAACTGTTCCACATTAAGAAAAACAAAAAATTAGGTCTGTGAGAGATAGCATCATAGAACCTACCAATGAGACTAAAGGAAAGGCTCACAGTAGCCACCAATCAATTTTTAGCTGTTCTCTGATAAACAAACAAATCCATCTAGGTACTGAGCTTGAAATTTTTCCAACTACTTCATACCAAAATCAGCAGAAATACCAAATAATTGTACTTCATTTATTGCATATTACATTTGGTCTCATAGACTGACTGATGCTCCAGGCCATAGCAACACACTGTGTGACTATGGGTGGCTTAACAACTAACTCTCTTGTCAGCTTCAGAGTTCTCAACTATAAAATGGGAAAAATCACAGCAATAACTACCACATAGGGATGTTGGAAAGAATTGAGTGAGAGTATAAAGGTAAAGCACTCGGAGCAGTGCTTTAAACACATTAGTACTAAAAATTAGGATTAGCTAGTATTTTTTAAATCGGGCAGTAAAAGCCAAGCTGGTGAAAAAGATACTGTAAGACTACCATTACAAGATTTCTATGCAGACAGAAAAATGCAGAGTAACCCCATTTCTATTTTGTTCCACTGGAGAAAGGAAAAGCTATGAGTGGATATGTAAATAGCAGGATTTTTAAAGAATACTAAGTCAAGCTACAGCAATATTAACCAGAAATATATATATATAGCTAGAAAAGTCCTAGAAGGTGCTATAAACATTGGTTAAGTATGTCTTAGAGACCAAAGAACTAACAAAATTCTGATATATTCAAGAAAGATACAGACAATAAATTTTAAAATATTATAGCTATCTTGTAGAAGGCCTTTTTGCACCACAACTGAAATATTTCAAATGGCCCTTATTAACTGTACTTTAAGAAATATATAACAGAGGTACAAAAATGCAAGTAAATGAACAAAGAGGACAAATAACATTAGAGTATGCTGATAATTACACATCATTTTCCTGTTGAATAATTACAAAGATATTCCATATATTTTTAGTTATCTTCCATATCTATTGCCTAGTCCACTGCAGTAGTTCCTAATCCTGCTATAACCCCTCCTAGTCTTTATTCCATTCAGCTGCATGAGTAATCCTTTCAATTATACATAAGATCACGTATTCTTGTTTGTTTGTTTTTAAAAACCTTTCAATGACTTCACATTATGCTCATTACAAAATCCAAAATCCTCATCAGGACCTATATGACATGGTCCCAGGGTACAGCTCTAACTTCCTTTCCTAATAGCCCCTTATCCTGGAAAACTCCACTCTAATAGCACAGGTCTTCTGATGTTCCTCAACACTCCGGAGGGTGCAGCCTCCTCAGGGCCTTTGCAATCGCTGTCCCTCTGCGTGGAAGATTATTCTCCCGAACAATCTCATGGTTCACTCTCATTTCACTTAGTAATCTCTCCAAATGTCACCTCCTGAGAGGTCTTTCCTGACTCACTCACCTAAAATAGCAGCCTCTGCTCTTTTCCATCCCCTACACTGCTTTATTTTTCTTCATAGCCCTCATTGCCTCTGGCATAATTTTTAGGTTTATTTGCTTTTAATTGTACATCCCCCCTGTCTGAGAATATAAGCTCCACAAGAGCCTGGATGTTGCAGGATGTTACAAATTCAAATAGACCAAAAGTCCCTTGGAGAGTGTCCAGCATATTATAAGTACAGGTATTCAATTATTTGTTGTTGTTATAACCTCAGAGAGAGGAAGACCTTTCTTACTACAACTCACAATGCAGATGCCATTAAAAGAAAAGAACCTGAAATTCAACCACATAAAAATAAAAAAACTTTAGCATAGGCCGGGTGCAGTGGCTCACGCCTATAATCCTAGCACTCTGGGAGGCCAAGGCGGCAGGATTGCTTGAGGTCAGGAGTTCAAGACCAGCCTGAGCAAGAGCAAGACCCCATCTCTACTAAAAATAGAAAAAA